CACCGGTTAGAGACCTAAAGCCAATTCAGCACCAGTACGACAAAGTATCCACAGAGTAATACCTAACTAAATAGTGATCACTATGTTGAACAATTAGCACCAGTACATGCACAATGCAATCATCCCCTTATCAGGGAAATCCACATAAATTGTTTCTTACATCTTAAGCGAGATGAGTTGGAAATGAATTTTACACCCGTTAGAGACCTAAAGCCAATTCAGCACACTAGAGAGGTCAAAATTTCACCACCAAACCCTAAATATCGAAGCACATTTTATCTCATATAGTCCACAAATAGGATTTAAAATGTACCCCAAAACTCTAACACGAACAACAGAACTGGAAGCCATCAATTACGCATTCATTTAACGTAATTCAATGGTATAAAAAGACCAAAGAATCATTTCTTTGTCATACATTTATAACTTCACGAAAACAGGAAATAAAACAGGCATACAGAAAGAAATCAAAGAAATCAAAATTGCAGTGGATGCCCAGTAAAGATGCAGTAAACTTACGCCCAAATGGCATTCCTCGGCGGGTAAAAATCGATGAAGAGAAATAAGGTTTGTCGCGCACAGAGCGAGGGAGACCGTGTTACAGAGATTAAAAAAGAGATCTGGGGAAGATCAGAAATTAACCCTAGAAGTAGAAGGGGGTAAGGAAAAAATAGGCCATGCAGTTGTTATTTTGGATTTTCGCAATACAGACTATTGGACTGTTACTGGGCCTTACGACTTTGGACTTAAACGATAAAGAAGCCTGCTAAGTGTCAACTCCAAATAGTATTACTTTTGGTTTTATACTTTTTATTTATTTATTTTTTATTTTTTAAGATACTATTTTGAAGTGCTTGTATGGGAAAGCTAAAAAGCTACGTAAAAGTCAACAATTAATTTTAATTATTTTTATTATAAAATGCAAAACTTTTTATCAATTTTTAATTATATATTCAGCACATGTTTAATGGTCATTATAAAGAGAAATTGGAAGAAAAATATGTTTTGAATAGTGAATTTTTTGAGAACGTATGATTAAAAAGTAGAAAAAAGTATGAATTTTACCGGTCATTTTTTCATAACTTGTTGAAAGGACGTAGGCATTATTGAATGAGAAAAAACAATAAATTGGGTTTATCAGTTTTGCGCTTAAGTGCAAAATATATTATATAAATATATAGTTGACAATGTATATGAAAAATAAAAGATTTTAAAATAAAGAGAATCACCTGTTATCAAAATTCGGTAAATTTTTTACCAAAATTGTGTCAAACAACTCCTTTAATGAAATTTTCAATCAAAACAATCCTATCGTACGTCTTTGTGAAATCCCAAAAATTCGAAATACCAAAATAAATGGAAACTCATAGGTTGTGCATTTAATTTGAATTTTTCAAGAATTGAGGTGCCATTTTAATAAATGACTTTTGTAGATTTCAATAAACTTTTCTTTATTTTTGTAGATTTTTTTATAAAATCAATAAAAGTCTTTCATATAACGTTTATTGACATTTATTAGATCTAGATGTCAGGTAGGTTAATTTCAATATTTCAATACTCGATACCAACGATTATACTTTGAATATTTTATAAAATAAGATCATTCGATTCCACATGATTACTGGAACCATACGCAAATTCAATTTGTCGATTCCGATTCAATTCTAACCACAACATTTTTGTTAAAAGAATCGTAAGTTGACAATATAATTATCTTTCAAATATCATAAATAGAATAAATAAAATATGTTATCAAATACGTATTTAAACACTTTCTTAATCAACTGCAAGTATGTCACTAAATATCGTCTAAGAGTATATCCAATGATGTTCTAAATTGGTGATTTAGAGTTTCAGAATCGTTGAAAATCTCTCTGGTATAGAGATGCAAAGGAAATGCGATGTGTATTTTTTGACAAAAGATGTAAATTTACATCTTTTTTTATTTTTATCTACTTATGGGATTCACAATAGACAAAAAACTACCAACCCACTTGCACCCAAGTTTTTTATTTCTTTCCATTTGAACCAGCTCACTTGCACCCAAATTTTTTAAACTTTTCATACAAACAAAATTTGAATTTAGATTCATCGTGATGTATAAATGATTTCGAATATGTTAATTTACTCTCGATTCTACGCCACACCATTGAAGATGCTCTAACATGTAGCATAATAGCATTCAATTTCGAATGTGGCTCAGCATGCTGCGTCTCAAGAAGGGTTTATGGGGACAAGTAGCGGACATAATGCGACAATGAACTACTATGATAAAAGTGATATAATTCAATTATCCAAATTAATGAATGTGATTTGTTAAGGTACTCACTATTTGAGTCGGGTTATAGGGTCGGAATTAATAAATTGTAAAAAATAAAAAATATATAAATATGACATATTCAATTCTAGAGTCGACATTCATGGTTGCAGTTCAAGAATCAAGAATTAACTTGGACCCAAATAGTTCTTAGTTCTTGCTTCATAGTTTATTCTTTTTTAACGAGGAACTTCCAGTTTCTATCTGATTCCCGTTAAAATGTTCACCCCTAACTTTTATAGACTTTGTCGGTTTCGATTTGAGTTTCATTATACCCATAATTTTTTTATACAAAAGTTGTGAACCGACAATACAAAAATTATCTTTATAATATCTAGCAAAAATATAATAAATAAAATATGTCATCAAATACATATTTCAACATTTTGTAATCCACTACAAATAGGTCACCATATAACATCAAATATTTAACATGATAACATTCAGTATCGAACAAAGCATAAACATCAAATATCCAAAAAAACAAACAAAAAACTAAAAATCCGTAATGACTGGATTCTATATTGAATGATAAAATAAAAGATTTATTTCTTTTTCTTGGTCTAATAATGTCTAATTAATCAATTTTATGGTACATATACATGCCCAAAGAATATCCGTATTTGCCAATGGTGTGACTGTCCCTTTAAGATTTATCTTGCCCCGTTTGGCACGAATTAGAATTTAAACTTTAATCTAAATCAAAATTAAAATCAACAATGAATTTTGACTATATATTTCATGGGATCCACAACTTGTCAATCACTCACTTCATCAACTTTTATCAAAATCTGATTTTAATCCCCCACCAAACGTGCATAAAAAATTTGCTTTCTTATTTATTCATAAAAAATCTCTATTATCTTTAAAATATCCAAAACATGTTCATATCTCAAATAAATCACTTTTACTAAGGACGATAAAAGTTCATATATATGCTCTTGTGTAGTTAGAAAATAACAACACAAGATGTGGGGAAAGTGGGAAAAGATAGATAGACACATTTAAAGTCTCGGCAAGTGCACTTTACGTGCAACTGATGGCCTCTATTAAGCGATCTTCAACTCGAACAAATAACCTAACTAGGGGTCGAGGGACGGTGTTGTTCGAGCTCTAGTCCAAGGTTAAAAGAAAATTTTCTAGGTCCAAACACAAAACATTGGCCCCTGTTTGATTTGGATTAAAATTCAATTAAAATCTCGAGTTAAAATCAACAATTAATTTTAATCACACTTCATGGAGACACACATCCACACAATTTATTAATTTTTATCAAAATGTATTAAAAATCTGTTTTTAACTCTGCAAAACAAGGGTGTCAAGCAAATTTTTTTCAGCTCATCCCAAGCCCATCATGGCTCGACACCTGGTTGCAACATTACTCAAAGATCACGAATGGCAGTGCCAAAATAAATGTTTCAAGAACCACTTTCACTTCTTGAAAAGCTTAGGGACACTAACTGCAATTTTTCCGAAAGTTTATTGAATTATTGTTTGCTCTTTTATTCTTGTAAAAAATAATAATAATAATTAAATTGATATAAAAAATGTATACGAGGGAAAATATTAGATGAAATTTTTTTTCGCATTTTAAATTGATAAATGATAAAGTGTCATGTGATATTATGTAATTCATTATGTAAATTTTGATATACGAATAATAACATCCAATAAAAAAGGGGAAAATTTTGGTTTACTTCAACTTTTTTATCAAAAACAAGGATACTGTTCTTCGAAGTTTCAACTAAAAATGCGCTTACATTACATTACAGCCAAGATTTTTATGTCCTTTCTCTATCATTATTCATACCATTTCGATGCCCCTTTTCCTCCCTTTCTCCGCATAACTTCACATCTTATATATACTCAGTGGGATCGGTAAAGTTTTTGCTGTTACTTCTCGACGTTGATCAAGATTTTCTATAGCCTAAATTCAACAATTCTACAACTCTTTCTTTTCCAAGGTATGCAAGTTTGACCAAATGCTGTTTCAATTGACTTCTGATTTGAATACCCTATGCATCTTGTAGATCGCTACTATTTCAGGAGATTTATTGGCATTGTGATTGTATTTTGTATGCTACTTGAATCGAATGTGCGATGCAGATAGGCATACTAAACGAATTGTTGTTGTCAGTTCTGTTTAATTGATAGCATAGAAATTTGAAATATCAGATCTGTATCGATTTCTTGTTCTACAGCAGAAAGCAATGTCTTTCATTGGGACACAACAAAAATGCAAGGCCTGTGAGAAGACAGTTTATCCGGTGGAGCTTTTGTCTGCCGATGGAGTTAGTTATCACAAGTCTTGCTTCAAATGCTCTCACTGCAAGGGAACCCTCAAGGTATAAACACATCTTCAATCCTTTGCAGCTTCTATTTATAAGTGTTAAATTTTGAGCTCATTCTTCTATGGGTTTAGGAGATAAAGCTTTATTTTTTTCCACATATTCTTTGGATTTTAGTTATTTAATTAATATGATTGTTCATAGATTTAATCAAGTTTTCTTTTTTCCTTTTTGCAAGGATTAAATTTTATATGGCAAAAACGACGTTTAATCGGACAGCTGATGACTCTCAACTTTGCTTACAATAACAATTTGGATTACTCTTTATGTGATATAAACTACTGCAGCCTTTAAGGAAAAATCCCTATGGCAGTATAATGTTCCATAGAAAAGATAGTTGTATTTTTATGTGTGCCAGTAATGTCTATTTATGTTCTTTGCCTTTTCTTACTATTTTTTTTCTCAGCTTGGTAGTTACTCATCCATGGAAGGTGTATTGTACTGCAAGCCTCACTTTGAGCAGCTCTTCAAGGAGACAGGCAATTTCAGCAAGAATTTTCAGTCGCGTATACCCCCTCTCTCTCTCTCTCTCTCTAATTAGTCATTCTCTTTTAGTTTTTAATTTAAAATGCATTCTGTCTTGACAGCTGCAAAGTTAGCTGATAAGTTGACCCCAGAACTGGTAAAATTTTCCTACCTATGTAGTTAACTGTCGTACAATACCTCAGTATAGTGTTGTATATGATTCTTTTTCTGTTTGTTTTTCTATTTTTTGTGGATATCTAGACAAGGTCACCAAGCAAAGCGGCTGGTTTTTTTTCTGGGACGCAAGATAAATGTGCGACTTGCGGGAAAACTGCTTATCCTTTGGAAAAGGTATACTAAGATTTCTTTAAATGGAACCTTGTTGCAACATTTTATTCGAACATTTGATGCACTCCTTTATTGATTACATTGACATTTTGAGGAACCGTGTTTATATCCCTAGTTACAAATGGATGAAAATGTCTTACCAACCAAGTTTCTATTGCTCTTTGAACTGCCCATGTTGCTTGTAAAAGCCTGCATTGCTTAAGTAATGATAGAGAAGGCAAGAAGGGAAGACATAATTAATGTTCTAATGTGACTTGGTGCTAGTTGGAATAGGATTGCCACTCCTTTACCATTTTGAAGATATGTGAACCATGAACTAGGCTATATACACCCGAGCTAGGTGGGCTATGGATCATTCCTGCCACATGATTAATGCTCCCACTCTTTTATCTTGTTGATAGGGACTTCTTAATCAGGGCCGTTGGTTAAAAAAGGCTTTGATGTTGATCAAAATGTAGCTTGTTCTCCTTCTGTCTACCTTCAAGAAGCTTCTGGACCTAGGCAAGTGTACAGTCCTTTTTTAAGGGTGCGGAAAAGCTGGAGAGAGAAAGGAGAAGATGGAATTTGCCTAGAAAAAAGAGAGAAATGTAAATGTTTGTATGAGGTTAATTACGAAGCGCATTCTAAATGAACCGTTCTTTGAGCAAGTAAATCAACCCTCCGTTTGGCTGATTTATAAATGATTTTTACATCATTTATAAATGGTCAAACTTCATTTTCAACCGCATATTCTAATAGACCCATAAGTGCTACCCACTTATCGATCACTCCCTTCTATGTATTTTATAAATTAAACCGTTTATAATTTTTTTCCAAATGGAAGCTAAATAATTACCCATAATTATATATCACGATGATCTGAAAACTCTTTAAAGGCTAGCGGAAAGGCCACAAAAATCTTGAAAAAAGACTAAAACAAGCTTCAAAGTTGCATTATGCTCCTGAAAAGTTCCTTGATAGGAACACCGAACATGAATGATTATGTCAGTCCCTTTTCCGTAAATGGCATTTTGTATGTGCTTTGTTAGACGCTTAGAGTTTCAAGACCCCCACGAATCTTCAAGCCTCATTTCCACTTTCTTTTCTTCACGTCAAATTTTCTTATCCCTGCTTTTTTTCACCTGCCATTAGATAAGGTCTTTATGTCTGTCAAAAAAGAAGAAGAGAATTTCACCATTCTGATATTTTGTACCTTTTGTTTCCATAAAGATTTTATTTTAATTGACTTTTGGGTACATACTTGAGGCTATTTAGATGCATATTTTAGTTTTCTGAATTTCTTCAAATAACATGTGCGCGTTTAAGTAAGTTTGAACTGACAAATTTACTTTTGTTATTTGTAAACCTTAGAAAAACCTACTATTACAAAAAAGTTTATGCCTTCAAACTCCTCGTCTATTGTTTACTTTTCCATAAGAACAATCTTAGCCCCCGTTTGATTCTTATTATTGTAAAAATGAGAATGAAAAATATAGTCGTTACGGATTATGCCTTAATTTGTATTATTGCATTTCTTACATGTGTGAATTTGAGCAGTCAAAACTGAATTATTAAAATCCAAATATTCAAACAGAATTTTGCTTTACTCAAGCTCATTCAATCATGCAATTCATATAAAATCCCTCCTTCAGTGAGACAAATTAGTCTGCAAGCAAAAACTTTTATGAACTATATATTTCAAGCTTTTTACAATTTAATTATTTTTACAAATTAGAATATTGGTAAATAATCCATGCGGAACTTTCTTTGACGCCATTGTGAACAATTAAAATTGGTAAGGTCGCCATTAGATTGTGGTTAATAATAAAATCAGTCAGTGTGCTCTTTTTTAGACCTGATTGTGAAAACTATCATTGTGAGTGTTTGAGATAGCATCTTTCTTCCATGTTACCTGGAAAAGTTGGGCTAGAGAGAGAACTTATCCAACTTATAAAACATTTGAAGAGTGCTCACATCGTGCTTAATATAGATAAACAAGCATGAGTTAGCTAGCATCCAGATTATATTACGAGGTTTGATATCTGACAATAAGTATTCAGTTGCTCTGTTTATGATGTTCGTGCATATTCTTTGACCACCACAAGAGTATCATAAATAGACATGCAATTTGAGTGTTAAAATAAATTGCATGAGACGTAGACGTCTCAAGAATGTGTCTTTCGAACAAAAGTATTAAATTATTTTAGACTGATCTACATCAACTAAAGTAAATCCTAAAGCAAGCTGTAAGAGATTGAATTCCTTCTCTACTCAGATATGCATGATTAACTAAAATGATTTCACTTATTCACACTAGTAAAACGAGGGAATTGTCCTGTTGATTTTTTCATGGCAAAAAACTATTAATTATTGAATTACATTTTATCATTATGAACTAAATCATGTGTGCTAAACCACATTATATTTCCGTGATTGAAATCACTGTTTATGAAAGTTTCTGTTCATGACTTTTGAAGGTTTTGAGACAATTAACGTTTTAGTGATTGCTAAAATCTAGTTATGAGAAGATGTTGGATCAGATTTTGTGTAGATATTTTTGATATCCTAGAGACTAGAGTGATGATATCTGTTTAATGTTTATGCATCAATTGCCATCTATTACTACATCAATGCATCAAGAAAGGTTTTAGCTTTGAATAATTGCAACAGATTTCAATACGACCATTCCAGTAACTAGAACAGGTTTGGTTTAGAGGAGTTGTTTTTCTGGAATTCTGCTTCTCATATCAGTTTGATTATGTGTGATTACATAATTCATTTCTATTGTTTCTTAAACATCTACAGGTGACAGTGGAAAACCAAAGCTATCACAAGTCTTGCTTCAAGTGTTCACATGGTGGATGTTCTCTAACTCCATCAAATTATGCAGCCCTAGACGGCATTTTATACTGTAAACCACATTTTTCCCAGCTCTTCAAAGAAAAAGGTAGCTATAACCATTTAGTAAAATCTGCATCAATTAAACGTCCAACAGCCGCTGTTCCAGATTCTTAAAACTCTGCCTTCAACTCAGCTCTCTCTCTCTGCATGATGGGGCTTGTTTGTGTGGGTGTGTTTTCCTTCCGATTCTCTTTGATCTCAACGTTTAAACTCAAATTTACTATTTCTTTTCATGTCTTGTTTTCCCTGTGGGAGTGTAGACTTGTAATGCCCTTTGGTCAATTTATGGGATGATCCTTATTTCCAGTGGTGAAATGACCACGGCCCATGCACTTGTGAATTTCATCATTATTAGTGATTCTTGTGGTTCTTTTCTTTTTTCATTTTGCCATGGTAATTTGTGTAAAGACGTTAAATTGAAGGCAGTCCAGACTTTTATATAAAAAAAACAGTTTGATCTTTATTCATGAAGTGCTGCTTTGTGTTAGCCGGGTTGACGTTGAATTTCTGATACTTTGAACGCCGAACTTTTAAAATTTTTCCCCAATAATCACTGTACTTTTAAACTAGTTTAGCCCCCATTTGGCCCCTTTAAGGTTCTTCAATTTAATTTAATTTTTTTCTCTCCTACTTTCAAGTTTCAACTACACAATCTTTAAAAAATTATATTATTCCCCTCATTATAAATTCAAGTAATGGGGGCCAAACGAGGGCTGAACAAGTGTCGATGAATTTTATACTTTGAAAGCTACACTTAAATTTCTTTGTAAAACATGTTGAAATAACACAGTTTATCTTTCTAATACTGATTGCACATTAGAATTGCAAGATTAGGTAGACGCTCGGAATCTTAATGAAACACATGCGTAAGCCTAATATAATATAGGCCCCATTAGGAAGTGATTAATCATCCTAAAAAATTGATTTTTTTATTGTTATTTTACTATTCCAACCGTAATTTTTTATTTCTTCTCTCACAGGTAGTCCTAGTTTTTCTTCTAACGGTCAAAAAATCAAATTTCAAAATCACCATCGAATAGGCCCCATATAATTGCAAGATCAGTAACAAAAAACAAAAACTGCTGCTCAGTTTTCAGTATAAAGTGCCAAGAAAGAAGCCAATCTATATTCACAGACAAATGCACAATAGGTTACTTGCATGTTTCTTGATCAAAGTACGGTG